ATAATTTTTTCACAGTCCGATCGATCTTGCCAACTTCTAATTAAGTGGTTTGATGAAATTCCATCGAATCAAGTCGTTAACTAGATTTTAATTAATTTCCATGACGCTGACGCGATTATTCCTGTTTTCACTTAAAAATAGATTTGATGAAATTTTTTGGAAATTGTCGAACCATTCGATACGGACATTCAAATCAGTTTTAATTAATAGCCGATTAGAATGTTCGAATGGGAAAAAGTCACCGATATGGAGACTGTATCATTACACGACAAACACATGTTCAACGGATTCATCTTGAAATTATTCGAAAACATGTGATTATCGAAAATCGTGTAAGCTTCACATCAACATAATTCTTTTCTAAAGATCCAAAGTGTATTATGACATAGACACTGCTAGATTACTGTTTGCTTCAAACTGTCGCACTGAACGAATTCAAAAATAGACGCGTTTTTTTACTTGGCGCAATGAAAAATTTCTTCCCGTTTCACAAAACAGCGTTATTTTTGAACATAGAACATATGTCAATCGAAAAAAGAAGAAGAAAAAAAGAAGCGAACGAGCGCGTGATCACACTGAAAAACACTGAATGATCATTACCACTTCAAGATGCGCCGAATTTTCACAGAGAGAATATCCAAGGCAACTTCATCTTTATGAATGAAATTCAGATGGCCTCTCAAAATTTGCCTCATAAAACATCCATTAGAAATTTATAAACGCTTCAAAAGAGAGTGTTCATGTTTACAGCATTTTCGGTTTGGTTGGTAATCCATTAGAAGTGGTCGCTCAGTCTCTGAATGAATTCGATTATTATTTTGACTGTTGAAACAAACGAAATTTATTTAATTAAATCAAGACAAAGTTTAGTTCTCTTCTACTTCTTCTTCAACATCGGTGTTCGGATAATTCATCAAAGAGCCAAACTACTTTTAAGAGAAAATGTTCATTGCATGGTTTTGTTGGTTTGTTACAATGTCGTCGCGACATATCAAGAGACAGAGAAAACATCGACTCGCATTTAGAATACACAAAGAACCAATTAATTTCTTGGCTCAGTGTTTTGTTCAGAGCAAGTGTATGTCACTGTTCGAGCAGCATGGCATCGAATCTGAGTGTAACAACAATACGATGAACACAAAACCACATAAAGACTTGTTCATCAAACCGAACATGAAAAATATTATCTTAGGATTTAGCCACATTTTAAGACATAAAATAATTATTGAAAAAAGAGACACGGAAATCTGAGACCGCATACAGCCTCTCGGCTCGCTTGTGTCGTATTTTTGTGCAACTGAATTTTCGTGAAAATTAATTTATTCAGAATGTCACGTTGACAACTTCTTAGATCAATCTTTGCCTCTAATTAACCGTTACCGCAAATGATTTGAAAAATCACTATCCGTTGGCTTCTTTTGGCTGACGTTTTATTTCGAATGTTTTGCATTCGGAGTCGGTAATAATAATATAGCTGTATTGGTGCACTTGTGCTAGAGCATACACGAGAGAGATATATCCACCTGGTTAAATTAATTCTGGTGTGCAGCTCTGATTTCCATGCATGAAAATGGCTGAAGCGTGAAAATTGAAGAAAATGAAACAAGCAGAACGAAATTATGAGAGAACGTTTGAACCTTGCCAAAAAGCATAGCAACGTACATCCATTTTACTTTGCCTGCCTTTTGCCAGTGCTGTGCACACATCAAAACAATTGAATTTTTCGACTGACACAGCAGATTCAATTCACTTTGAAAATTTGAATATTACATTCGGTTGATTTTAAGACAAGGTGGATGCTTGGTGCCACGCAGTGATATGGCGAGTTTCAAAACATTTCGATGGTTGAACCAACAATTTCTCTCGATAATAAACAAAAACGCCGCAGCTGATTGGGAGGCGAAACGAGTGAAAATACCAGTATACGAGAAAAAAAGATACAGACAGGATATCGCATACAAAATGGAACGAGACAGAACCCATATCAATTTATTTGACAGCTGACTAGAATGTGAGCGTGTTCACTCTCTCGGTGCGCGCTCTTTCTTTCTTCCCTTCTCTCTCTCTCTCTCTCTCTCTCTCTCTCTCTCTCTCTCTGGCAATGCTTTTTTTGTTTGCCGAATGGATGTTCTCGATGCACTGAACTGCTGGAACATCCAATATTTTGTGTACATATTTTTGTGTTGTGCCTGGCGTGCACGCTGTTCATGCTGTTCTGGAACTGATGTGATGCGCTGCTCTGTTTCGTAGCACAAAATTTCTTCCCTTTTCGCCAAGTCAAAGTGTAAAAGACGTTTTCTGCATTTCTTCGCACCAAAACAAGAGAATGCGAGATATCGGTGTCGTTTTATATTCTCTTTCATTCTCCCTTCCATTCCATTTCGTCGATCCTTTTTGGCGAAAACAAAACCAGTTTTAAGCGCACATAAGTGTTTTGCATATAATACATACATTCAACACCATCGAGCAAATCCATGTCACGAAATTGGACAGAATGTGACTTTTCACAATTTGTTATTTGATATGTCATGCGTATTGCCTTATATATATGAAATTGGATTTCCATTACTGGCTTTTTTCTACTCGAAATGTTAAATTGTTTTGCGAGTCAATTTTGCAGAAATTTTGTTACGTGTACGTTTCATCAAATCCGAGGCAAAATTTTATTCAATGCTTATTTGCTGGCGCGAATAAAATCACAACAAATGCATGATTTGATTTTAATTATAATGTCCGGCGAATGAGCGAATTATAAATTACATACACTATTTCTAAACTATGCTATTAAAATGCCCTCGTAATACGCTAAACACGAAGATTAAAAAAAACGCGCATGCAGTAATCATTCTTCAGCCTCATCTAGAAAAAAAACTCTAGAATTTATACACAGAACAGAGCATTTCGTTCTTTCTGTTTGGATTTCGAGTTTTTCCCCGAACTTGTTCTTTTCATTGGATAATTTTCTATATGCGTGCATTTAATGAATGTGCGGAAAGGTTTGAAAACAACAAAATAGACTCCGGGAAATAGATCGCACTTTGTGATCAAGTAAATTAAATTAACATTATCATTAACATAGAAAATGGCTACGAAACAATTTCGGTTTTAATAATTTCAATGACTTTGACTTTAACTTAGACTATTATTACTCTGATTACTCGGCTCCATTAAAAATTGAAACTACGGTGAAATCAACGACAGAGTTCTCAATCTCACCATTTCCCTCCGTGTATACACACACATGACATACGAGTCTGGAGCGCGGATCGCTCATTTAGATCAGAGAAACACTCACACTTGAAATGTGCGCCTTTTTTTAATGCCAACGAAAAACGGTAGATTTATTGAAAGACCCACCTCGTAAGTTAATTGCAATCGATGATAATTGCGCGCATGATACTAATCGACTTTTAATCGTCTTGAGTATACATCATCATTTCGATTCGAAACACACCGAGATCGTCATTATGGACGTGCGTACCTGTCGGTGAGTGTGAGTGAGTGAGTAGATGGAGCATACCGCCATTTGTTCCAAGTGCACGGGATTCATTAATGAACCGAAACATAGGAATGTTTCTTTTTTTTCTGTTCCACCAGCCTTCATTTGCTCTGGGCTTTGTTCCAACTCGCTAACTGTGTATTGTTTTTTTGTAGCTCAACCCAAAATTAAAAGTACATCACGAATATAAATTGTGGCACTGACAAAGAAAATGAAAGAGGCATTTTGAACCATCATGAACGAGCACTTTGATTGCTCATAGTTTTGTTTTGATGGTCGGCACACTGCTTCACCTTTTTCCCCGTCATTTTTCATCGTTCATCCATTTTGTTTCTATGATAACACCTAATTTTCTTTCTCCAATCAGCCAATGCAAACCTCAGTCCGTGCAAGATATGCCTTCTGAAAAAAATGGATAAAAATGCTGAGCAAAAAACGTTATGGTTTTCTAATTTCGATTAAAGTGCTACTTCAAGCATTGGCTACTTTCGCATTTGACTTTTACCATCAAACACCATTCCATTCAAATTATTACATTTTCATAGTCTATAAAAACGCTTATAAAAGATTACGGTCACGTTCTTTTTTTGGTTCGGCCAATCTGTGTAGAAAATTTAATATATTTCGACTGAAAGAGTCGTGTCAATCAAAAGCATGACCGTCAAATGGACCATTGGAACAGGAACACAACAAGAATAGTGTTTGAAATCGTCTGTAAATTTAAAATTATTCCTTTATGAAGCATATCTATAAGCTAAGTCACTTCGATGTGAACATCAATTGTTTTTCAAGCGTTTAAGAAAAAATGAAAATCGTGAAATGAAAAATGAAGCTAATTTCAACAAAATGAAGAATTCAGCCTTGATCAAATAAATGAATGACACTCAAATTAAGGGTATTTCACATGTTCGTCTGCTTTTTCCCCGCGAAAATCAGACTCGAAATAACGAATCTCGTACGATTCCATTACAAAAAATTAAGGATTGGCTCCTGATAAAATGAAGTACGTAATTTGCATTGCATTTATGATTTTCATGGATCAAAGGTTGAATTTGCTGCTCGGAATAAGGGTGGTTCATTATACAAAAACTGGTCTCTAAAGTATTCATGCACCGAAATAATTTCGATTGGTTTGTGGGTAAGTGCGATTGGCTGCAGAACGAACCACGAAATTAGACTGTGGAAACGAAATGGTTTCGATGCAGTTCAGTGTAATAATAATCGATGTGATAATGAATACAAGGGCAATCTCATTAAAAGCCATTTCATTAAAATCGCTTGCAATGGAAAATGGTGTCGTGTGAACACGTAATACATTTATGAATCAAGCGGTTTTTAATCAGAAAAATTGTGACTTTCGTTGGTATCGATTGAGCTGCAATGAGCTGCTCATTGAACGCACACATGTGTCGTTTAGAGATTAATACATTTATTCAATTCAATTCAATTCATTTAATTTAATAAATTGTCCAATATTTTTCTCCTTTTTCCCCATATGCAGAACGTAAACGTGGCCGACAAACCTACACGCGATATCAGACGCTTGAACTAGAGAAAGAATTCCATTTTAATCGTTACCTGACACGAAGACGACGCATCGAAATCGCTCACGCATTGTGCCTAACCGAACGGCAAATCAAAATTTGGTTCCAAAATCGCCGTATGAAATGGAAGAAGGAGAACAAGACAAAAGGCGAACCCGGCTCAGGTGATGGTGATGAAATGACTCCTCCAGCAAGTCCGCAATAAAATTTGTATATGCAACCATATGGATAGCATCAGCATTGAGGCCTGTGCAAGCGCCAAATGGCAAATGCATTTGGAACAGACAACAAAAACAAAACACACAAAAAACAGCAAAAAAACACACGCAGAAAACAACTAACGTAAGTGATTAGTAGATTACCAACCCATTCATTTTGCCAGCAAAGTGAAGAGAACAAAAATATTGAAGAAGAAGAAGTAGGAAGAATACAATCGTTCTCGTACGTGATGCAGTTTGTGTTCGTTTCTTGACTTTGATATCTCATGTATAAATCAATTCTCAGCCCATTTTGTTTAATATTTAATTATAGAAATCAAGAATCACGTATGCAAAACACCCCCTTTTTTCCCATTGAGCTTAACGAAACAAAACGTTTTCAAACAATAACTTACTTTGTTGCAATAATTACCGAAAATTCAGATCATTTTTTTTATTCATGCAATTTCGTCGAGAACGAACGAACGAACACGTAAACTGCAATCACCTACTCAAAGATCAAATGGATTTAATTCAAAAAACAACTCATGTGACCTCAACTTAAGTTTAAAAAAAAACTTTATTAAAATTAATGGACAAACAAATAACTTTAAACACTTGATTCTAATCTAAAGTAAAAGAGAAGAAGAAAAAACATGAAAAAATGGAGAAAAAAATTGCAAATGAAACAATATTAACAGTAAACAATAATATTTAAATTTAGCGAAGAAAAGAAAAAAAAATGAAAGAAAAAAGTGAAAACGTATGTAATTGTGTAATTATTTAATTGAATTATTATTAATATTATTCTATGCATAAATATGAAGTACACTCACTACTCGATTGGTAAATGCATCATGATTCATGAATATATAAATGGCATTTAAGTGTGGCACATTTTCGGCATGAAATCTCTGACATCAAACGACCGATGCAACTCATTTATAATCTCTATCCCTTTCTCCCGATTACTTTTTTTTGTGTGTGAATCATTGAATATGATAAAAACCAAAATTTTACCAAGCGTAATTAAAACATGTTAGACGAATAGAGTGAAATTTCACATCACGCCACTCGAGACAAGACTCAAGCAATTTCATTTTTATGGATGAGCTCGACTTGTTTCATCTTAATTTTTCGTTTGAATTTTCTTGCCAAGTAGAGTACCGTTGCATGCAGTCGACACGCAAACAGATTGAATCAGAGAAAACCGAGGCCAGTGATTCAGTGCAATCTTATTTTATTGTCTTACTTACCTTTTAATTTCTACTCTCAATACACTTTTTTGATTCTCTCTTTTAAACTAAAAAAAATTTAAAAATTTGTATTTTATGCGTTAATTGGCACAATCTGTCGAGGTTCTCATGCATGCACCCACACACACAAACACACACAGACACACACACACTAAATTTAATGACTCTTTTTTGTGGTTAAACATTTGTTTGGAATCAAAATTTCAAATGCCACTTGAAAATGATAACAATAACAAACAAAAAGATACGTAATTCTAAAAAACGACACACTTCTAATTTGTAAATAAATGATTCATCCCTTCGTTTGTCGAGGGGAGGAAACTTTTTTGGAAAATATTATTGTAATCGCTATTAATTTTTTAAATTAAGAATCGATTGGTTTGCATGTTTAGCAAATGATATTCTTCACATCTCTCTCTCTCATTCATTTTATATACAAATCAAATGTATGAATAAAATTAAGATTGTGTAAACATTTAGTTGATGGTTGAAACAAAGAAATACTCTTTTAGCAACAAAATAGAGAGCAAGCAAAGGGTCATTTAGAAATTGGTTCCGCTAAGCAACGACTATACTTATATTTGTTTTGCATTAGATTTGACAATTTTTTGCAAAAAGAACAAGCGACTACTTACCCGGCAATCATTTTTGAATTCGCATCGAACCCAACCAAAATATAGTTTACTTCACTCGAATGAACAAAATAAATAAAAACAAACAAATGATTTAAAAATTGGATATGGAGTATACAGAAAATTTTAGAGAAACAAGTAACCAGTAGAGAATTTTTAAAAACTTAGAAACTGATCTCTTTTGAGCAGTATCGTCTTTGTTAGTTTCAAAAAAAAAAAACATTTGAAGGAAAGAAAAAACTATGTAAAATGCTTCTTTTCGTGGATTGAGAATGAATAAAATGATTTTGAACAAATGCATTTAGACAAAATCTTGCACAATTTCACCCCGTTGCAATTATGTTCCGGTGGGATTGGCCTTTGGGTTAGTCCAAACAATGATCAAAACCGCATCAATCACAAATTCTTTTATTGCAAACGAAAACATGTATGAATTCACAAACACACACAAAATTTGCATTTCGAATGCTGCACGCAAGCACTAGCCTAAGCTAATTTTTGAAATTGAATCATGAAAAAAAAAGTTTTTTTTGTTTTTTTCCAACTAGATTTTTTTTTTCGAAACTAAAGCCCAGTGATTGAAGTTGTAAACCCATTGAAAAATACTCCGTAAATTCAACTGTTCCAATTGATTCGTGTAAAATAAAGTTCCACCAAAGCTGAATAATTGAAGATTGTTTTAATGCCCCCGATTTAATAATTTACATGGAAAAGGAAAGAGAAAACCGTTTGTTCTTCTTCAAATTCATTTCATAATTGTGACATTTGTTTCTCCGCTCTGTTTAATGGCTGTTAAATGATGTCACGCATTACCACCTTCAAAACATTTTTTTAGTCGAAGGATGTATCATTACATTCATTGACGGAATTGTTGTTGGTGTTGAAAATAGCCGGAACTCAACATTCGTTCTTTTTTTTTCTTAAATAGAGAAAATGCTGAAGAAACATTGATGAAGCGATTTATACCAAAGCCATATAATACAAATAGTTCACTTGTATAATAAACAATTTCTCCTATTATTCGTGTCTGTCCATGAGTGTAAAATAGAAATATATTTTGTGTACATACATCTAGTTTAATTTAAAACAATAGAAACAGCTAGCGAATAATGTGACGAATTACTCATAAAATACTACATGCAATCATACAATACAGAAAAAACACAGACACACACACAGTGACACACAGTAATGTATCACACCTCAAGACATAGCCGATGTAATAGTTTGTTTTGGAAAATTTCGTTTCACAAACGTAGACTCACAACGATGAATACATCAATAAAGAGAGGAAGAGAACAGAACTAGGTGATGGATCCCTTTGTTGAAGTGGGATTTAGCCAGGAGAACATAATCATACGTAATAGAATTGACCACAAAATCCTTATTATGGCTGAAACAAAAGAGCGAAACAAAAATTGATCATCAAAATTTAATAGCTCTTGAAAATCGAAAAATGAAAATGAAAACCCGAATATACGTAATTTCCCAGTGGCTTCATCAGAATAAAATGCATCATTTTTCGTAGATCGATGAATCAATTTTTGCAAATTTTTCAGATTAAAAAGAAATTAACATACAATCAAAAAGAAACCAGTAACTTGTGATTATTTTTTGACCTTTGGCATTTGGATGGCAAAACAAGAGTAATAATTAATTTAGGCAAAATCGTCTGAAAATAGAACCGAAATGACCACATTAAAATCACCCACTTTCAGTTGACAGATTTGATTTGTGACAATTGGCATTGGTTTTATTTACACTTTGAACAAGACACACGAAAAAAAACATACACAATTACACAGGTTTTTCTTTGTACTCATCGGTTGCTGCAATTGGATAGCAAATTAAATACTATTTAAAAAAAAGAACGTTTATTTAAATAAACACGATGGTTTTTTTTCTCTTCGATTTTAAATTTTCTAGTTAAGAATTAAGAACCACTAAGAACATGACGAAAAGAAGTGAAATGCAAATTAAGAAAATATTACATTAAAAACAAACAAACAACTATATATACAAAAGATACGTAAGGAAGTAAATTATTCTGTAAAATTATTGGACAAACAAGTGAATAAGGCCACAACTACAAGAATCACCAACACAGACACATTTCTTTGATATATATTATTATATAGTAATAAAGAATATTTATGTTGTATAAAAATGAAAAACCCACTACTAATTAAAATACAAATAAAAGATATTTGAATGAAACAAGAAATCTAAGCAATTTGGTTAAGGATTCAACTATTTCATTTTCTATGGTAGAAGTAGTTTTAGCATGTAAGCATAACCAAATAAGAAACGTTTCACAGAAATCATCAAGAATTCAGATGGTGAAAAGGAGGCAATTATTCAACGTTCAAACATTTTCTGGACCATTTTTTCGTATTTGCAGTGAAATCTGGCAGGCGGTTGATCGATCATATCGAACAAAAGCGTGCACAGAGACAAAAGTGATATTTCATGAGAAAGCGATGATTCCTCAAAATATTTTACTCCATTATTCTTCCATTGTGTGCAAGGACTCAAGTCTCGCATTCATGAATGGATGGCATTATTGTGATGGCTGTTCTTTTGTTGGTTGATTTTGAGCGTGCCGAACATAAAATCGGTGGAGGACGCAGTACACACCGCGTGGAGTGTTGGTTTTTCGCGGGTGCCGAACGTACACACCACAAAGATATTATTCCAATTTTTTTTCTGTATTGTTGCCACTTTTACGTAATTGCTTGTGAATCACAGTGATAAATATTCAGCAATAACAAGCGGAGCAGAACTGATGCGAGCACAATGGTCGGATGGACGAAAGCAAGCATTGTGTCACCTTTTGCAGTGACGAATCAAATGGATATTTCATTTCCATTCGATTCAATTCGTTGCTGCGCTGTTAGTGTTGCTGGAGCATTTTGATTCGAACTTTTCAATATTTCATTTAGCCATTGAATGCAAAACTCTCCAGCCATATTCATCAAAAATTCCCTTGTTTTAATTGTATTTGCCTTCATCTGTCATTCATTGCGGGGCCATTGTTTCGTGGCGATAAAAATGGATGGCAATTAATAAATGGCTGTTTTTGGTTTTCAGGGAAAACTGTTTCAATTTCAAAATGCCAAAAATGTAAATGAATCCAAGCCATGTGTCCATTTAAAGTTGAAGGAATCCTATATGTGATTGTCTTGATTCCTATTCCGCTTTTTTCACCCAAACCAAAAAGTATTTGTACAGCCAGCTCAGCTCAGTCATGTTGACTGTATTTTTGTTTGTTTTCATTTGATTTTTCGACTCGTTGCATGGATACGACGAATTTCCACCTCAACCTACTCGTGAAATGATTTATTTGCGCTGCTGAATATGACGGTAGAAAATATTTTGTTTTCACTGGCATGTTTTAACTGGGCTAGTTATACACGTAACTCGAATCGATAAAGCCATGCATTAGTTTTGAGTATTATGTGTCTAGTGTTCAAACACAGTACACGAATTGTTCTCACGCGCGCACGCTTACACACTCAAACACATTTCCAATCTGTGTGTGAATGGCCACGGTGGAGCGAATAAAAGGTTCGCTTGATATAATTGAAAATGTAAACAATTGAGAGCGTGGTGGACGCTTGAGCTGTTCTTGATTTCATTATAACATTCGAAGCTCACTAATTCCATATCAGCTAAAGACCGCAGTCAAGCGCGCATTTTCCGAGTAATTACTTCATTTCGGATTTCGTTATCACATGACAAAAACAAAAGTCGAGTATAAATTGTCGAAAAACGTTTCACCAACAGTGTTTGCATGATGTTGTCATAAAGTGCACGCCGCATAGATTTTCCCCATAAAGCCCATACGTTAATGCTATTTCAATCAACGCATGCTATGAATCTATCTCCCATTGTGATATCCAGCCGTTTCATATGCGTTTATTTGCCAAAACAATTTTATGCCGCATTCACCCAAAACAGCAACAGAAGAATATTGTTTAATTAGTTTAACAGACGCTTAGTCCAATCTCGGATTTTCGGTGTTGAAAATCAAGTTTTCGTAATTTTCATAATTTTCGAATCGATCATAAATTTGATGTTAAACCAAAAATATTCAGTCTATTCGCTCTCAACAAAATCAATGACTCGTCGCTTGTTGGTCATTCGAAATGCATGCGGTCTTTGTTCGAGCTCAATACAACCGTCCAAAAATCCGGAATGTGTTTCGTTTATCTTGAAAAATACAATACAGCACCAGTACCAGCATATCACATCAACACACATCCACACAGATCAAGCCAACACAAACACATATTCATCCGTCAACAGCAGAAGCAGAAGCAGAAGCAGCAGCAGCAGCAGCACCAACTGCAAACATGTAGAGCTGAGCTGCTTATACACACTTGCATTTTATATTCCTTTCGTCAAAATACCAACCAAAGCCATCATCTTGAAACGTCAAACGAGATGATTATATGTTACAGTGACATATAGTCGAACTGTTCGATCATTGCCCGTCTCCGATACTTTTTGGAAACCATTATAAAATGGGAACAGACAATTTTTACGTCCGCCTCAGGTGTTGCGCTCTGCGTTAATGTATTGTTTGGCTTTCGTTGCCGCCCTACTCTTTTGTTGTTTGTTTTACACTTCGTTCGGTTTCGTTCACAAATTCGAAAATTCCTAATGCAACTATGGTTTGAATCGTTACACTGAACGTTTTTGAGCGAAGCAAACGTTTTGTGCATAATTTTCAAGGGGATTTCGATTTCTAGTTGGAAAAAATGTAATTTAGTGCATTTTAAATGGTGAGTTTTTTTCATGTGCATTTTAAGGTTGTTTTTTTTTTTAAATATTTCTGCGTATGGAAAAACTAAAGGTAAAGTATATTTTAGGTTGAAACGAGAATATTTCTAGTGATTTAAGGTGAGTCTTATGTTTTTGAAAAAATTGTGCAGAAAAATTGAAAAATTATTTGAGGTAAATCTGTGAGAATAAAATTGTTGAGATTAAATTGAAGGGTAAGTTTTGACTTTTGGCGTCAAAAGTTCATCCTGATTCATAATTTTCGCTACTTGAACTAGAATCTTAACATGCTTTGAACTAATGAACAAAATGTGAATGAGAATCAAAAGTTCCGACGGCCAAAGAGCTGCTAATGCAAATGTTTTCCGAATCGATGAAAAATCATGTCGTACTGCAATAACCGTCACGAATTACGTGAAACTAGGAAAATATTGAGTACTTTCACTTTTAAATATCGGTTGAATGATCACAGCAATAAAACTTGCCGCCACTACAAAAATTTGTAACACATATTTGTTCCATTTGTTGTCATAAATGCCGATCTCACCTATTTGGCGTTGGTTATGACTTTTTTCCAATAAAAGCCAAAACAAATGCATGTGAAAACAATCGGTGACATCACATCAATGATGGTGATTTATTTATTGCTTTATTCAGCACAGTTTCAATCATTACCAGACTCATTTAGAATTATTACTTTACATTATAGTTGATTACGTTCATCCGACGACGACGACACAAAGAGTGTGGCCTCAAGAACAACAAGCCGCATCGCACTTGTTCTTGTTTGCACACGCAAAAGCAAAACATCCTACGAAATCAATATATTTTCTCAGTGATTTAAATATATCGCCAACTACCGGCTGATTTTTTTTTATCTCTCTCTCCTCTGTGGGCGCGCGCTTGGCGAGAGAAAGAGGAAAGCTCGATCAATTTATATTTTAGAAGTGTTAAATATGCCTTGAAGGAAGTCTCATTGATTTCGATACAGTTAAACATGCATCAGATAAAATTTCAAGCCATAACAACAACACTGCCAATCGTATGTAGCAGCTCCAGATTACACGACTCACCGAGAGAGTAGACTAAAACAATACAAATGCCGCCATAAAACGCATACAATGGGAACTTTGTTCTGTTTTTTCTTTCTTCTCTTTACTTTTTTACGTTGTGTTTTGCAGTGCCGTTGAAATACTGCCACATCGTTAAATTTAATATTCTTCTCATTTAGTCAAAGTGCTGCCGATTTATTTCGACTATTTATTGCTAAAAATAAATGTATTCGTATATCTTAATATAGAGTACGAGAAAGTGAAGAAAGAAAAAGAGAAAAAATAACACAGAGCGCGTAAGGAATATTGTGTTCTGTCTTCATTCAGGAATGAGTGTCGATGATATTTGGCTAAACAAACCGACGACACTTTTCCACAGGAAAAGCGTTGTCGAATTCCGTCTATTCGAATTTATTGAAAAAAATGAAGAGGTAATAATCATAGCAATCAAGTGAATGCGCTTTGCTTTTTCACACACACAAACGAAAAAAAAACGGTACACCTTGTTCATAAGCACAAGTTTATTTTATGCGAATCAAAATAAATCGGTCTGATTGTTAAACTGCTGTTCATTTTTCAGTATTGTTGTTGATTTTGTTATTTTGTGTGTTGCTCTTTGGATAAATGTGAATTTTCAGTGTCAGAGGTAAGTAAATTTCAAACTCTTTGATTCCGCTTAATTTAATGGGGGCCAAATGAGCGTTTTTATTTTATGCACATATTTTTTGGATGACGACGGAACATGATAAAGACAATCATGTTGCATAATATTTATGTGAATCAAAGGTTAAAACTATATGCTTTTTTCGCTCTCTATGTTTGCTTCGATATGAATTATGAATTATGAATGCAAACAGCAAATAAATATCTCTGACACATGAGCACATTTTTAATTTCCTATCGCGTCAAACGCGATTCCGCTGACCGACAAAGATTAGTTGAAATGAATTCTCAGTTATATGTGGTGATCTCTTAAAGGGTTTTTATGTAGCGCAACACATTTTTAGCAGCGAGAGAAATATTACACAAATGTCGAATGACTAAATAAGTCATATCCATTTTATAACGTGTAGAATGTGCCAGATTCGTTCAAAGATATGGACAAAATCGAATTTCCAAAAGAGGAAACGCGCACCGCTGGAAGACTATCTTGAATGTGCAGGCATGACTATTTCAATTGACACCCGATATTTATGGCTGCAAACTCTGAAAATGACCACGGATTTTCATCTCTTTCTCACTCATTCTGCTATTTATTTTGCCGCATTTTTTCCTCCCGATCTTTACTTTCGATCAAAGTACAATGAACATTTGCTTTTGCATTTTGCATACACGCAAGCCGGCTCTCTCGCTGCGATTGCAGCAGCCGAGAACGAGAGAAGACAAT